GAATTTTGGGGCGAATTATAGAAATCCTGTGCAATTTTTACTTTCATTTTAAACAGCAAGCCGTGCGAAGACAAAATTTAAATGAAATAAATTTCTTAATTCTTTTCTTCTGTAAACTTAAAAAGGGGGGAAAACACATGCCATACAAAACGTAATAAATTTTTATGGATCCATAGTTAAAATTTTACAGTGAAGTTTTAAAAGCAAAAATTTGCAATAACTAACTGAAACAGAAAAAAATATTTAAAGACAATTAAAGGCACCCCTAAATAAATTGAAAACACTGAAATACATTATAATTATCCGACAACAACTTTAAAAAACAAATTACCATGAAAAAACGTTTAGACAATTATTTGGAATGACCATTGTGAAAACCACGAGCAAAGTTTTCACCCAATAGCCAAAACCATTTCACTTACAGCATTACATTTAAAAAGTCTTTAAAAGAATTTCACATAGCTAAAAAACCAAGTACCTCTGACTACAACAACAAAGAACGTTTTCGAACAACGTGGTAAAAGATTGCTGCTAAAGATTGCATGATTGCTAACATGCTGCATTCTTTGATGTTGCTTTGTTGCCTCCTGATGTTATTTCGCACATGCGCAGTGAGGTACGGAGGGTGGATGGCTTTGGAATGGTTTGCCCCTTTAAAGTAAGCTTCAGGATATACATAATGGTGTCTCTTCGGTCTGACGGAGCCACATTTGCCCGGGGAACCTCTACTTCTTCTCCTTAGAGATTCTTTGGATCAAGTGCCCAAACCTCCAGAGGCTATCCGAAAGGGCGCCACTCCCCTTGGCTAACCAAGGAGGACTTCACATGTCAGATATCGTCCGTCCCCAAGTGTTGACCGAGGAACGCCACCCCCCGTATCTGACCATGTAACGTCCCCACATCCAAGGGCTAGACAAGACACTACCAGCACGGTCCCTATCAAGCCTGAACCAACCACCGAATAAACGATGGCTTTAGTCCTGCCAAGACTGATTATTTACCGCAGATGTCGAGACTATCTATATACACAGGTCTAGCCAGTTGGCTAGCTAGAACCCCGGGTCTCCTCCCATAAATTCCGGAAATTCCAACCCAGTCGAACTGGTGAAGCAAATAAAGTAAAGTTGATGAAGAAGGAGCAAGCAGTTGGTACATGAATATTACCAAGTGAGAGAAAAGAATGGCCTTGTGATACCTGAATTTCGACAAAAGTGGACTTTTTTACAATCCTGAAAAAAAAGTTACAAATGTCATGGTGGGGGCATTCAGTAAACAACGTTTAACTGTTATCCTTGTATGTAATGCAAACTGCAAGTGATAAACACCGTCCTTGGGTTATCAATAAGTCCGAAAAACGGCGTTGTTTTAAAAACATAAATAGTACTTTGCCTTGCATACAGTCTCAGCATAAGAAAGCTTGGATAAACAGCTCATCATTTCAGAAGTGAATTTTCTTTTTAATAATCGAATGGTGGCTCAGAATAGGCATGTTCTTATGACATTGAGCAAGTTTACAGCCTGTAACATGTTACATACATGTAAAGTCTCTGTAGCACCAAGAAAAGGCCTGTAAGAACAGTGTGGGATTGTATCACATACAAAGTTGAACTCTGTTGAAAAAAAAATCTGTTTCCTTGAGTAATATAGAGACTGATTTGTAGGGATGTGTTTTGTGTGCGGTGGTCACTGACATTAACCACCAGAAGTGGTAATTTTTTCACGCGTCTTGGACAAAAAAAAATATGTGTAATTGTCGCAAATAATTTCATTATATTATTTATAATATATTTTACATTTCATTATATTAACATCTGATATAGTAAATAAAACAAGAGTTTTCCTGAAAACGTTAATTGTCTTTTCCTGCCCCTTAAAGTGTTAACGGGTAGAAAAATTTATTCCAAAAGTAAAATTTGAGTCCCTAGTAAAAATGAATTTTTTTCAACACGAAATCTTGCATATTCAGTCCCTTGAGATTCATATTAATGAAAATTTATTGTATCATGCTTTTTTAAAAACGTGGTCTTTTTTTCGATAAGTCATACTAAAATGTTTAAACTAATGTTAAATCAATATATCGAATTCGTGTTAATATTAACATACATACTGTTATGTATGACTTTATCTGCTAAATGTGAATTTCAGGATAAAGTAAATGTCAAATGCTCTCAAAAACAAGACCAATAAAAAAGACCAATAAGGCTTCGGTGTGAAAGGAAATAATGCCTCAGGTTATCAAGAATATCCAGATTTGCCAATTCGTTATTCATTTAAATTTGAAAAATTATTTCAGAGTTTAAGCTGTAGAGTCGTAAGTTTCTTTTGAAGCAGGAGACATGAAAAATATGCAATGCCTTCTCCCGGACTCGAGCCTAGAACTCTCGAACATGCGCCGAGTGTGCTACCGTTACACCACGAAGGCATGCGGAAAGGAGCAAGAAAATATCTTATACACTGCTCCTTTTAAAGGGCGACTGGGGTTTAGGGGACCCAATCGTCATATCCTAGTGGTGACGAGTTATGGTAGGGTACGAACTGCGCCAAATTTGATCGAAAGTCCCCGTCCCCCTCTTTTTTAATCCACGAACAGCGCGACGTTTCCTGTCCCCCATTTCTTTCCAAGAAGATTGGGTGCTACAAAAAGTCGTTTATCACCATTAATGGGACATTCTATTGGGACTGCAAGCCTTTATTTTCGTTTATCAATATTGTAAAAATTGTGCATGTAAAACAAATATTAATTTAAAGTCTGGCATGTGCTAAAAAATAAATTTTTTTTTACACTCATTTTAAAGTTTTATGATGCTAAAAGGAATAATGAGCCAGATCTTTTTTATTCTCTGTAAGAATTAAAAACTTTCCAAATTGTAGATTTTAGTCGCTGATATATATATCAGTTTTGAATAGTAAAATTGATAGATTAATGACATACACAAAACTGATACATAATCAACGTATCAAATATCGGATTTGTAGCTCACCTTAAATAAGTTTCTTGTCTAGATAAATATTAACAAATCTTCTTAGATAGCAGAATGGTTTTAACTTTCAAATTTACCATTTTAGGTAAACAGTTCTAATTTAATTATAAAAATTATCTTTATTAAATCTAAAAATTGGACTTCTTAAGTCGTTCTAAATTCACACTAATATTATTGCAATATATTCCCGTATTAAGCTTTCCATTTTTAATCATTGAAGTTATTTTAAGGTTATTTAACTTTGTTACAAATTCCATATTTTAATACTAGAAACGTTTAAATATTTATTCTGTTTTCCACCTGATGTACTTTGGCATACATTTAATTTCTAATACACATTTAATTAATAAATTAATAATTATGAGCGTCAGCAGAATTTTCATAATTAACAAAAAAATTAAAATAATAATAATAAACTTTCTTATATTCATATCCTGGGATTTTCAGTTCCCTTTTAATCCATTCCTTTTTCACATATTGTTGCACTGTACTCAAGCTTTCATGTATGTAAAATTTATATAATTTGTATTGTATTTATTCCAATTTATATTTAAATGATAATTTTTACAAATTCTTGCTTCATAACTCTAGTTAACAGAAGATGTTTTTAACACCTTGGCAAAGCTTAATCTTCAGTATGTAGCTTATTTTCTAACCTAGTTTCTGGCTGAATTATTTGTAAAATTAGTTACTTGAAATTATTTGTTAACAAAGATGGTCGCTAAATCACGCTAATAATATTTCTAACTGTTGTAATTTATAATGCAACGAGTTCATACGATTTATAATATAATTCATTTATAATTTTTTCAGCAGTATTGAAATTAATAGCAGATACTGATAATGTTATACATTTAGATTACAATGATTTAGATTGCCATTGCCTTCTTCACTCATGCTTTTATACTACTTCCTAATATTTCATAATGGCATACAGGTAAGTTTAACTTATTCATTAAACATGTAAATCTCTAATTCAGCCCACTTTTGTTACGTGTGCTGTATCTTCTATTTTCTTTAATATATTGTTCAGCCTAATTTCAAAAGGTCTTATGATCAAGCGGAAAAGGTCACTAAACATTGGTAGTTCGACCCGAGTTTCTAGTCCCAGTGATCTCCTAGCTCTTTCTTTTTTTGTACTTATTTACTGTGTAAAAATGTACAGTAAAAATTTCAGTTCATGAAGTAAAAATACTTTTAAAATTTATTCTTTAAAAATATTGCAAAATTTTTCACCTTAGCGTATCTTTTTACAAATCCCTCTGATAAGAAAAAGTAAGGAAAGAAATTAACTTGGTTTCGGTGATTGATACCTCAGTGCAAATTATGTGTAACTTTTTCCAAAAGCATAGAGTTTACATGGATATCAATAAATTATGGATTATTTCTCATCTAATTTTCTTAACATTTTTATTCCAGAATTTTCCTTTCACACTGTAGTGTTTAACTTTATGCATTTTATATAATAATTTACATTTGTTTATAATTTTACGCAAATGAAAGTGATTATTTAATTGTATAAGCTTTGCTGAAAGATAAACGAGAAAAACAAAATTCTATCACTTGCGGTCAAGAGAGTGTTTGATGTAATAATTCTTATATATTTCTTTGATAGTTTTTATTTAATTTCTTTCATTTATGCATTACTACATAGTTCTTTTCAAAAATATTTTTCTGTGCCGCTATGTCCGTATTTCAGTTTCAAGGAATGCGTGCTCCGTGTAGGGTATATAATGCTTAATAAACTTATGATATGAAAGAGATCTAAATTCTCTTCTCATTTCTACTGTATTTTTTAAATTTCAACCCCTAAGAAATTTACTCTAGAAATCGTTTTCATGATTTAATATTTTATACTTATTTATTTATTTTATTCATACTTTAGCATTTTCTTTAAGTTTATTCTTTATCATGCTAACCTGTTTTTAAATATTTTTCTCAATACTTTTGTAATTTAAAATTATTACATTTATTATGATATTTCACATTAATTTGTTTGAATACAATGGATTGCAATAATTAACTTACAATTTTTGGGTAACATGAAACACGTCTTAGGAATTCTAATCGTGAAATCATTCCATACCTGCGCTTGTTAAGTAAATCCTCGATTCTTTCCTTCCTGTTTGCGTAATTCCTGTTTGTTATTTTTTTATGCTGCTTCACACCATTTATTGCAGCGTATATATCTATCTGAATTTGACGAATTACATCTGTGAAGACAAATATATTAGGATGGGAATGATAAAAATTCGCTCTGAATTTTGAATGAAATGCTTCACATGCATTAGTTGTTCTTTCCGATGAAATATCAGCGCAAGCCCAAAGTATCGGGGGAAATTTTGCATCCTCATCTAGGTAGTTCTCGGTTATGTAATCAGTAAAGCGTGTGATGTTTGCATCCCGTGGTTGCTCTGACATCAGATCTTCAACGAAGCTATCCGAAACTTCAGTAGCATCCAAAAAGGGTAATCCAAATACCAGTCGAAGCCATCTGCCAATTTCTGAATTACCATTCCTATATTGTTGCTGCAATCCGCACTGTTGAAGTTTTCGCCACCAAGCTTGAGTCAAGTGGAATCTACATCCTGTAATAGAACATTCAGGCCACATTTTTCTCACAGCTTCATGGATTGCATATTCAAAATCTGCCACCACAATTTCTGGCTGAAAATTCAAATGCAAGTTAGAACAGAGTTCTTTCAGTTTTTGAAACATAGTTTCGTATATTGCCGTAGACTTTCCTGGTAGCAAAAAAAAAACAAAGTGGGATATAATGTCCATTTTCCACTGTATGAAACGTAAACATCTGAAAGAAAAATTTTGGGCAAAATGTGAAAGTGCCATCAACAAAAAAAAACTTTTTTTGTCACATAAGATCCTTAAATTTGAATCTGTTGAAAAACAAACTATATTATTTCTATCGTCATTAATCTGAAGAAGATTTTCATGTCGATAAGATATCACTTGCATTACATTTAATGCAGAATGCACATCAGAAATACATTTTGGAAGTGGAGGTAGGACTTTCCTTCTCTGTCGGTACATATTTCTCCGAATACAGTGAACATCATGGCTGCTAACAATATCTGAATGATGAGCTGCAACACTAGTCAGTTCTTTCCTGATTAATTTCTGAGGTTTTTCAGATGTATCTTCCGCTGCTTTCTGTTTAACACCGTTTGAAACAACTTGTCTAGAAATAGTCTTGCAACGCTCATGATTGTGACACAGATAAGATTTTGATAACACGTTATTTGTCTTATCAAGATAAAGTGTTGCTTTGCATTTTTTACTTGTACAACGCCATTTTTGGTACTCTGCTTTTCCACAGTCCTTATAAAATTTATGTCCTGAAAAAAGAACGAGAATTTTTCCTCTCTGACTGCGAATAAACTCCATCATAGTGTTGCGTGCATACGGGTTCGTTATGAAATGAATGCACAAGTCCGATGAAAAATGAACAAAATTTATTATTATCACAACAAAATGCTTAATTTTCTCAAATTATCATGCAGTTTACAATATCACAGTGTTTTCTTTAACTACTCAAATGTCAATAGAACGTAATTCAAAACAGCTAAAGAACGCTAATCCGCGAATTCGCTACAATCAAAAACAGTAGTTTTCTAAACAACAACAAAACTAAGCAACTACTACAAACTGAGATGTTTTCCTCCTTTTATAAGATTTTAAAATCACGCGCTAGAATTTTCCAGTACTTTCTCGAAATCAAAAAGAGATATTTATTTATTTAATGCACGCGCTCTTGTATTTTCAATTTTCCGGCTTAGCTTTCTTTTAATATTCGTCACGCGCTGCACTGCGCGAGAAATAAAACCATTTAATTTCTAATTGAACTAACATTAGCTTTTTAAATACCACATTCGTAACAATAGGTAAATATGCTTAAATAACGCCAATTTTAATTCAAGGTTGAATTTATAACAGAAGCAAATATATTTTTCTCCAAGATAGTCAAAGAATCGTTCGGAAGTAGCATGATAATGGGGGTTCTGCGACAGGAGGGTCAGAGGGTCAGGGGGCGTGGTCAATGACGTCACACAGAGGGCGGGGCCAAAGGCAACGTCATCACACTAGGAGGCGTGGTTTCGAGTGGAGTTGAGTTGTTGGTAGATTGCTGGTTGAGTTGTAGACCTCCTGCTTTTCATTTAAAGTTCGTTTTTTTAAAAATTGGCAACAGGAAATATTTTCTGCATCTTAATTTTGATGAAATGGCGATGCTGCCCTCTCTTGACGAAAAAGTGAATTATATGTTTTAGAAATATATTTTTTAAGTCTGGTGTTAAATTATTCAATGCGTGACTCTGAAAACAATGTAAAAGAAACAAATATAAAAAAGACTTTCCTTTAATGATAGTTTACCATGTTATGAAAATGTAACTACAAGATAATTTTTTTTTATTACTCAATTTTATTCTGATACTTTTATCCTTTCTATTTTTTCATGAAACTTTAACTTATTTCTCAGGTTTTCTGTTTCATAATAACATATTCATTTACTGTCGTATTTTTTTAATACTTAACGTTTCTAATTTGTAATATTTTATTTAATTTCCACGTACTATTTTTTTCATACCTTTCATAAATTTCAGAATACCCTGATTTTTAACTTATACGTTATATTTCACAAACGTTCCCGCACGTGCTGTTTATTTGTTACATTACTTAATTTTAGATGCAATTTCACACTTTTTTAACGTTATAATGTTCAATATTCTGAATTTTAAATTCATTTACTTTTTTTTAAACCATTCTAGTATTCTATACACACTTTAACTTAGTGGTATGAAATTGTATTTAAAAAGAAACGTTTATTTTTTTCGTGATCTTAGTTCTTTTTACTAAATTTTCTACAGAATTTCTAATTTCTTTCACGTGTTTAACAATATCTTCCTTACATTACCGAATATTTTAAAAAAAACTTAAGTCTATAACTGTTAATTGCGTTTCTTACGTTCATGATTTTCTCTTCTGTGTTTATATTTCTAATTCTAGCTTAACTTATTTATAATGTTTTTATTTCTGGTCTCATCACTCGTAATTCCAACATTTTATCCTTTTTATTCATTTTAACGCGATATGGATGTTTTCATTTACTCCATATTCAAAATTTTCCTTACAATTTTTATAATACTTGTTTTATTCCTCGATCATAATACATCATCTACAGGTTTTACTCAGAAATTTCCAAATTCAACTTACAATTTAATACCATTTTATATCTAAATGTATTTCTTTCTCATATAGTTTTATGGTCTTCAAAGTTTCTAACATCATGTTTAGTTTTAAATCCCGATTACCTTTAAGTGTTTTGTGTTGATAATTTTCATTTCTAATTTTACAAACCACGTTCAGTGTTTCATCCACACATACCAAAATATTTCTTACATTTTCTGATATTTAGTCTATGTCATAATAGACTTTTCTGTACTTCAAATGAATTTACACTGCTCACACTATTATTTTTTCATGTTTTAGAGACACTAATTATACTAATTTACTATTTTTTCCTGCACTAATTGCATCTATGTCAGCACTCATGATAAACTAGCAATTGTTTTGCATCACATGCATAAAGAAATTCTTAAAACCAACTTTTTCAATATCGTACTCAAATTACTGTTTCCAGATGGGAATTACCAGTATTCTTTGGTTTTACTCTGTTACATCTTTTTAAATTTTAACATCTTACTTTTAATTCCAACATACATCTTTAAAACATTTTTTCTTTTAATGATAGCCTTACCTTATTGTTCAAATTAAGTCTTTCATTACCTTCTTTACTAACCTTTCAATACCATAATCACTATGCAACGCAATGTCTTTCACACTGACATTCTCTTTAATAATACCACAAGTTTCCTTAATTGACAAAAAGCGAGTTTATTTATCATTTCAAATAGAACTACTATATTTTTTGCACAAACATTACCTTTATCCATTCAAGCCACCCCTTAACCTGTAACTGACGTAGCGATAGGAAAGGAGATTCTTATCATATGCTCTTTCGACATTTGAGGTTTCTAGAACTTCTTTGACAAGTATATCAATACCATCAGAAAAATATACTTAACACTTTTACCAGTTTTAAAGACAACATACTGTTATAAGAATGGTTTTAGTAGTTAAATTTATAACACAAATAACCGCATTTGTGCTAAATAGGCATAAACATTTAGATTCAGAATATTTCTTTTTAATCCGATTAAGACTTGAATTTCATTCATAATACGGATTGTCTCTTGATTTTCCTTTTGTTTACCTTACACTAATAGAAAATTTTTATTTTACAAGTTCAGCTTTTAATGAAATAGAAATAAAAAACTACGATACACCTGCTGTTTTTAAGAAAAAGGAACTTTGATATATTCTGGAAATGTAAATGCTTTTAGAGTTTCTTTCAATAACGTTGATTTTCATTACTTTACTAACTTCAATAATTCTCTTATTAGCTAATATGAATGAAAGAAGATTGTCAAAATGTGACACAGTATAATTCTTACGACATACGTACCTTTTACCAGCATACAGATATTACCGATTGAAATGAAGAAAGATACAGATATTTACTCCAATCTACATTAAATTAAAAAAAATATTTAAACTTTCATACATTCCAAAGAATAAACGAAAAAATCAATAGATATTGTCATGTTGTATATATGAGATAAAAGTTTTATGAATGGTATTTAAAGTAATGCTTAGAACTTCATAAAAGCGAACATTCACTATGTTAATACACATATCATCAGTTATTTACATTAATCAATGTAATATTAATCATTACATGTACTATATGCATATATTTTAAAGTTAATTGTCTTACAATTGAATAATTAACTATTGAGAGAAAGAGGTTCATATCTTACACTATTTAATTCACATGGAAACAAATTTTTTCCATCAACCAACATTGAACCAAGTTTATTAAATTCGCCAAAGCTCTTTTATTTCTGCATTTTCACACTCACGACACATTTTAAATGTAACTATTGATTATCATTTCAACACCGATATCATAACTCAATGTAAAACACATCATACCTCATTTTTTCCCTACTAACTACAATTTTATATATTCAAGAAGTACATCTAAGACATGATCATTTTCTATGTTCTAGCAAATCAATTCAATTGCGAACATACTATTAAGACTTGCGATTTTAGAAGACTTGCATGTATTAAGGATGTCAACGTTTCTTCGTTTTTATAAGATTCACATCAAATCATGTCGCATTCGAATGTGGTGTAAGAGATCACTTTTTCTTTTAAACACTTGTAAACAATGGATGCAATTTATAAGAAGAGAAGTATCATGCTGTTTCAAAACATCATCATCAGCATATTTCTGTTTCTTTTGACACCGGCAACATTTAAAAAAAAAGGTTCGTGAGATTTTCTTCAAATTCGTTTTACTTGAAAAAATGTCCGAACATTCAATACGATGTAAAGATTCATATTGTTTTAAATTCTTATGCTCACTAATATTTTTTTATCACGATTTACTCTTAAAAGTAACTTTATAAGTTTCCTATCCTTTTTACATGAAAAGAACTTGTGATTATTCACTACAAAATTCTAAGACGAGAAGCTTCGCGACTTTTCAAACTACAAACTTAAATTTCTTAGGACATACACTACATCTGATGTTTCTTTCATGAGATTTCAAATATCTCTTCAGATTACTCGTATTCAAGAAACCTTACAAATATATCACATAAGTTCAGCGAATAATCGCTTCATAAACTCTTAAATTTTCAACACGAGTGAATCACTTGAAGCATATACTGCACTGTAAAACATACAATACTTAAAATAATTGTTATAAAAAATAAAAATACATTCATTTCACCAGAAGCTTTTCTATTTAAATACATTTATTTATTTCCAAAGAACAAGTTTCTGTATTATACATAAAATATACTTAGAATTTTCTTTCATTAGTTAATATCAAATTAACAACAATATCCATTTACTGATATTTGATATACATGTTTGCTTTAAAATTAAAACTAAAATTTCAATATTTTCTATTAAAAAAAACATAAGGAAAAAAAAAATACTCATAACATCAACCAAAGACAGAAATTTAAATTGAATAGCTGTACTTATATTAGTGCATTTTTATAATCTTCAAACATTTCGATTCAAAAACCTATTACAAAATAAATGAAAACATTTTTTTTCTGCCTTAAAGAATCTTTTATATTTTAAAATTAATACATAAAAATTATCTTCCCCAATATATTTAATTCTATCCTCAACAATTATTATATGCAATCATGTCTTGTTTGTGAAGGATGATTTACAATACAACCTTCGCATTTAAATAGTTTTTTTAATCACTGAATTTAATTCAGTTTTGATAGAGTTTATGA